TAATTCGAGATAAATATAGTTAATTTCAGATAAGTTTGACTCAATAAAATGCCTAATTGGTTTGCTGTCTAATTATTTGAGGCTACAAACAGATAATTTAAATACTTTGCTTATGTAAAAACCTCTTTTAGTTTTACTTTTATGGTCAATGTTTTAGTGCCTTTGAAAGAGGAATTCAAACACTATGATTAGATTTGGAAATTTTATTTTTGATCATTAAAATGCCATGATGGATACGGTGATGCATTTAATATTTCGTAATGTATTGCGTAGCCTAGTTGACTGAATAGTATTTTATGGCCTATTACAAACGAGAGAAAAAAAAACAGTTATCTAATCTGTGGCTGCAATTCTTTTTAGATGTGCAAGCATGTCTTTATTATCAAGTATTTAAACTCTCATGAAGCATCTTTAATTTTGTTTAATATACAATAGAAAAGGAATTATGGCCTATAACTTATTTCGAGTTTAAAAGTGGTCTTATCATTTAAAACGCTGTTACACACTTAAATGTCGTTCCCGAAAATGGCCTTAAGACTTTCTGTCAAACATATAAATTACCAGCTGTTGCTCGCGACTTCGTCCGCGTGACATTATAAAAAATATAGCCTAGGGGTAAAAGAATTTTAAAATCGGCCCATGAGTTTACATACAAGAATACAAATCTTTCCTGTTTATAACATTAGTATAGAAGTATAGATTAAGTAATTTTTACACTTAATGATGTAACTCTTCAGCATTAGCTGTCTAAGAATCGAAACGTGTCCGTCACACTGCATTTCCGACGCTTAACTATTCAAATAACACCGTTGCATAAAACCTTTTATTATCAAATTAAAGAATGCATTATACAAGAGAAGAAAAACGTCATTACAATGTGTGTGGGGGTCATCGACCCCCTGAAATCACGGGTGTTCAATAGTTATATGATTATGTCCAACAGCTCGATCGTTGTCGCCTGTTGACCCCCGACTCTATCAAGTAGCCTCGTCTATTTATCGTCCACTTCAATTATTTCCTTTTGTTATTGTCCTTGAATTGTCAATTTGTTCGCCACAAAAATGGCTTTACGTAATTGTTGGTTTAACATTGTGATCTCTATTCTGGAGAGATGAATGGGTTTGCAATATTTAATTGAAATGCCATAGATTTATCTATTATTGAATTTTATGTGAACCAATACGATGAATCCTGGTCCTGAATCCAAAACGGCTGGGCTGTTTTCGACCGGATTGTCATTGAAAGGTAGCTGACATAGACGGGCATATTATACTTAACATTGCGTGGACGAAGTCGCGGGTAACAGCTAGTGCTAAATAAAAGTATAGTATGCTATCGGGTCACTGGAAATACATCGAGATCAGAAGTCGTTTCAGCAACATTCCTGAAAACTATTAAAAAAAAAACACAAATGCATCATAAATTCACTACAATTGTTTTATAAATAAAATTAGAAAGGAATTCCAAATATATCTTCGCGTATGACTTTACTAGTGAAAATCTTACGCAAACAGCGACGTCTAAATTACTAAGCAAGTTTACGACGCAAGCTTGCGGTTTAACTTTTACCTAAACCGCGAGAAAAGCCGGCGTACGTCAGTAGCTTTAGGCTGCAGCGTGTGACATGCGGTCTTAGGGCCATTGCACACATCACTCTTCCTACTTCGTATGCCAATTACTTTAGATCAGAGCTTCTCAAACTGTCTTATCTATTATTTTTAATACCTTTCCTTGGACCCCAGCTGTCTACCTGAAACAGTTTGATAATCACTGCGTTAGCTTTTTAGCTGTAATAGGATAACGAGGTTTTTGTGCTATTATAAAACACTTTGCTACTTTTTTGCTGATTATAGAAGAACTGTTATGTCATATTACGTTTTTCTATATTTTCTTATTAAATTATAAGTGTTTTGATGGGGTAATTTATTCCAGTAATAGGGAAAAATCCTATTACAGGCGTAAAAACCATTTATTGAATAATCATTTTGAGATTCTTAAAATATAAAGTACACTCATGTCAATAAAAACGTAAAGGTATCAAAAAAGAAACTGAGCTATTTTTAACTTGCATCAGTTTACAACAAGTCACTCTAGTTGTCATCATTATCTAGGACTTTAATACTATGTAGAATTAATATGTTTGCGAACCGTGTTGCATTTCTAAAATCCAGTAGGTCAGTAAATCGTGTGTATGAGGTCAGAGGTGGGTGCCCTTACTGGAAGTCCGCTAAGCGACGATAATTGGGCCCTAACTTGCACCACTCATCTTACTAATTCGACTACTGTTTGAATAAACAGTTAGAAACTGTAGACGATGTCGCGGCATTTTCCCGTGATCGTATACAATGTGTAATTGCGTATTTATAGTTTAAGTAAAAAGTTACACCTTTTATTAATTGTACACATTAAAACTTTTTAATAAAAAACAAAACCGACTTCCAAACAAAATACACTAAAAACAAAACAAAATGCACTAAAAACAAAACAAAATACACCAAAAACAAAATATTCTCAAAAAAACAGTACACTAAAAAGTAACGAAATAATTCCTTGAAAATAGTAAACCTACCTTATTGTAACTGTTATGTCTATATTGTACAATTATTTTTACTTTGATGTCGGTGTCAGCCAAGGTATCCAGAGATATTTCTACGTAAGGGTTTCCACATTTTTACCATAACAATTGACAATTGAAAGTATAGTAACAATTAAGTAATGAATCTACATTGATTGACACCGACTTCAAAGTAAAAATAATTGTAACAAAAAAAATGGGACCCACCTGCAAGCATTACCTTTCGGATAAAAAAAGAATTATCCAAATCGGTCCACTAGCGGCGGAGTTATTAACTTACGTTAACACACATAAAAAAAAAATAAAAAAAAAAATACCGTCGAATTGAATACCTCCTTCTTTTGGGAAGTCGGTCAAAAATATTGACTAAACTGTATTTAACTAACTTGCTTTTTATAAGTAATTTATTTTAGAACTACATTTTTAATAGAAGCCGTTTTAATCACACGTAAAATTTGAATGTTAGGAGTAAGTCTGCAATAATGTATAGTTATGTGTTGAATATTATTTAAGAGCGAGCGCACACTTGAAACTAAACTATCGCAAAACTGCTTTGATACCTGTGAGCTTTTAGTTGTGCAACTAAACAGTTGTATTAGCTGCTAACTAATTGACAATCGAACAACAGAGATAGTTTAGTCAATGGTGTGCGCCCTCTCTCAATATCCCTTTCTCATTGGTGCCTGATATGCGTCTAAAATGTATAGTTATATTTTTTCTATCGATGCCTTAATTGAATTTGATATCGATTATTTGTTCAAGTGGGTACTAGAATCGTACGTCGTGTTACGACATAAGTGTATACTTCAATTTTAATTAGGACTACGAACAAATCTCACGATAGATCACGACCTTATTCAAGGACAACTTTCTCTTAATGATTTTCATTCATATACAGTGTGTTTAAATCCATTAGTTATTTGCGTATTTCTCGTATTTTTTACAACAATTTTTAAATGTAGAATGTATGTGAAATAGTAGCATGATGTACAAAAGCCAATAAAAACCCCGTGTAACGTATGTATTTTCACAACAGTTATCTATTATCTAATGGAACAAAGTGAAATAGGCCGTGTTGAGGACAATAAAAGTTTATCAGCGGTAAAACAGACTTAGCGGCGAAGTAATGAAATACTATGGCTATTAGACCACCAAGAGTGACGGTGAAAGGAAAGCATGCGTCGATGTATTGCGGGAATTTGGTAACATTAAAAACGACTTCGATTTTGAATATATTATAGAAAAGTGGTATCGATCGTGTATGGTGTTATTTTTAACGCAAGTTAATGATGATAATCAACACAACTGATTTTGTAAATTGATTTTTGACATCAGAATTAAAAGACCGTTTTATAATGTTCACTGACACCTTTACTTTTGAAAAATAAACTAGAATCTATTACGGTGTTTAGTAAATTTTCTAAGATGTCTATGACATATATTTCAGGGTCAAACACAAGAGCATCTAAAGAGGTCGCGCAAGGTTTAGTGACAAGTGGCTACTTGAATGTAACTACTTCCTATTAAGACACCCCTAGTAACTTATCCTTAAGCGCCCAAGTGGTATTAAGTTGTCGGAGAATTAATTAAAAATGCAAACTTTTACAATACTTTTTAATTTACTTGTTAAATTGCAGAAAAAAGGATAATATTCTTATGATCCTTTCATTAAATGATCGTAATATAATATAACCAAAACATTAGATAAACTGTGTATGTTATTAACAACATTTAAGAGACCACATCATTCTATTGTTTGCCTGCATCATAATTAGGATAACAAAACATGATTGCCGACGACGTTTATGCCACCCTAACAATTGAATGACGAATGAGATTTTTACAGTTTCAGTAACCGGAGTTCGATACTCGGCCAATACATAATAATTATCACTTGTGTGGATTGTGCTGCTGTATTATTGTCTTATTACTGTTGCGTTTAGAAGTGGAATAGTGTGTGTGCACTTTAAATGAAGAATTCGTTATGATTAGTATTCGTTTTAGTTATTTATAAAGTTAAGACACTGGCAGTTAATTAATTTAGAAGTTAACGTAATTATAAACATACATGTTTTGGGAGGAATTGTAAGTTTTTCGTTATTTTTTCTAAATATTTGTGAAATAATCGTAATATAACAATTTTATACATATCTCCGAGTTAACGCGTTGTGTGTATGCTAAATTATTTTAACTTGGAACCTTCATAGCAAAGCTTTCTCGTAGTTAGATGAAGTTTATAGTACTCTTAGCACATCATCTATGGTAAGTTTGAAATAATTTTCCGTGCGAATGCGGCTTAAGTGATAATTTCACGGCAGGACCCATCGGTGTTACAAAGCAATCTTCAGCGGAGACTATTTCCTCTTCACGAGGCATGGTTTTACTGACAGTACTGCACTGCCCAGTCGATCCATAGCAACCTACACGGGCACACTCTAGTTCAGTGCGTTAGACCCTTCGCGCATATCGAAAAATTTGTAGGTTAAAAAGTTTTCAGTTGGAGTACAGATTTAAAAAAATATATCAAGATATTTGTGTGAATGTTAATGTAAGTTGTTTATTTTTCTATTATAAACATGTTAAAATGTTGTCTTCATTGATTTTTCTAATAGTTCATTTATTTTATTTTGACTTTTTTTATGAACTTTTGAAAATTTCAACCGCACTTTACAGGCGAGCTAGTTAATATAATTAAGATATCCTACGAATGCTAAAAATTTTAAACTTAATAAAATTACATATCTAATTAAAATTACAAATTAAAAATTGCTTTTATTATAAGTAGGTATTAACAAATAACGATTGTTATAAAATTGTATAATTATACTTCATATTATACCATCATTTCAATTGAAAACTTTCAGCTTAAGTCTACGATTTAAGCAAACGGAAGTATTTCTTGACTTACTATTTAAACTTTAGTGTTCCAAATTGATTATAGAGTTCAGCAGTTAGATAATAAAGGTTGGTAGTAAAATAAATCCAAGCTTTGTTATCGTTTAACACAAACGTGTTTTTTTGTGGCGCGTGCTACATGAAAGAGCATCGCCACGGTTGCATGAGATGACCCAATTCAATCTTTCGTTTTATTTACCTTAGCTATGTTAACGCAATGATATGAACCGGCCTCATTTAGCCTATTTAGTAGCTTTTGATTTACCTTAATCTCTTGCTCTATCAATGAATAAATTAATGATTTAATAGTTAACCCTTAAATGCATATTGTTGCCAAAAATCTACAAACAAAAGTGTAGTTTTTGTTAAAATCAATAATTTTTTAAATTATCTTTCCCTTAATCTGTGAATCTAAACTTATACTGAAATGTTTATTTCATAATAAAATAAAAAAAAAATCATGTATTTTAGAGTTAAAGTAATTTAGAATCAAGAAATTACGTCTAACATTTGATAGCTCATACTAGTCCTGTCTATGTGAAGCTATGGTTTAAGGATGATAATACAAGAGTATGTCACGACCGTGCAAATTAGTTATACGTGATCGCACCCTTGGTACAGGGTCGTGAGTGCGTTGTTTAATAACTATAATTTATTTTAGTAAATTTTGTATATTTTGTATAATATTATTATTGATTATCTTGGTTGACTACATATTAGTTAATAGTTGAAAGGTATACTTTTATTTTCATTTTTTTTCTTTATTTTTACTTTTTCTCTTAACCTTTGCCTTAATTTTTTACTCCAGTTTTACACTTGTCAATAACTCAAAGGTTTAGCTGAAACAAAGTGTACCTGATATTATTATCGCACAACTGTTTGGTCTCGCTTTGTTTCCTATTAGTTTATATGGAAGTACACTACTCGATTTTTACGTGTGCAAGTAAACAGTTGAATTGGCTACGAAACAAACAACTATCGCACAACTGTTGTGCGATAGTTTAGTCAAAGGTGTGCGCCCGCTTTGTCTGTTTTCCTGCAAATCTAAACAGGTCATCGTATCATTTGTTTTTCGTATAATTAATACGCAACATGGCGATAACGTATCCGGAGGTATGGTGTGGCGTAAGACGTTATCAACGCCATCGCCAGAATATTTACCTTTCTTGTTTACGTGAACAGATAATGTATATCATATAAGAATATTTAGTCTTAAACAGAACACTAATCATGACACTACTTGGTTTACTTATCGTTACTTATGATTTAAAGTTAGGTTTTAAACAAATTGATTTAGGAACTTCCTTACTAAAAGCAGCAATAAAATCATCATTGTAGTTTCAAATTGTAATAGACAAGAGCGCACTTTTGTTTTTTTTTTGTTTTTTAACTGTTGTTAAGTGCATGACCACGATCCCACCTGAAGAAAGTGCATGCAGTCGAAAGATGTTTCCTGCTTTTTTATATTAGGTTTGCTTGTAGTTACTACATTACTAGGATTCAAAAATACCAGGCCACCTTTTGATTCACTATTTAATCATAAAATAAACAAAAAACAATCGCCTTTAAGATCTAACATTCATATAAAAATTCTCATTCACGTTCAAGTGAGCTTTCTTCCATCGATGTGAGTCATTGTTCACACGGTACATTGTTTGTTTTCTTATCTTATTACTTCCTCTTTCTCAAGTGTCCGAGCTATTGGGATATTTTTATTAATCCGCCGGGTCTTGTGTTGTAAATAGATATACTTTATACGGTGTTTTATTAACTGATAAACTCTGACCGGAGACACGCATCTGTTGTAGAAAACGAGAAGCGTTTAATCTCTTAATCTTCTCTGCCCACCACATTCTTCCATGGATAAAGAAATATTATCACGTGCTCGTTTCTATCTTTTTAAATGACAATATATCCTATTGCTCTAGGATAATTGACTAGTTCGGTCATTACTTAATCGTATTACGAATAAATGACCCGATGGATAGATGTTTGTTACAGTTTGTAGCCTAAATTGCTGAACGGATCTCGATTAAACTTGGCATAGATGTAGAGCATAGTCTGGAAGAATACATAGGCAACTCACTTTTGTCTTATTTTTTTAATTTTGCAGATAAGTTATAAAACATTTGAGTCATGTAAAATCAGACGTCAAATCGAATTGAAAAATATTGTACATGTTAAGAAATAGGGTATTTTATGTTAGAATTTCAGTAAGGTTTTCACAAATTATTACATTTCAAATTACCCACAATAAAAATTATATAACCAAAAATATAGTTATGTCAGGTGAACTTCGTCTTTTGTTCTAGGTCATAGAAGTCTGCTAAGGGCTGCTCCTAGGATACTCAAGGATTCAACCATACGATGTACTACGAACAAATTTTAGTGGAGTCTATAATTATTTAAAAATTATAAATGTTACATACTGAGTTATTAAGATGGACAAGAGAGAACTAAAGTGCTGGAATGTAAGTTATCAGTGAAATAAAATGGAGCCACGGGGACATTCAACATCGAAAAACAAGTCCTTTTGGTAAGTTTTTTGTTTTAATAAAATAACGATAACTATTATTTTGTAATAATGTCTAATTGTACTAGAATGCACTCTATCATATTAAACTATCGTAACAATGTTGCCTTGTAAAGACATCGGTAAAAATTTATTAGATTAAATTCATTTTCGCGTCTGGTAAAAATGTTTTCTTGATTCGAATTACATTTTATCTAGCTGTTGCTCGCGACTTTGTTCCCGTGAAGATTAAAAAAAAAACATAGCTTTTGTTACTCACAGATAAATTACCTTTCTAACGGTGAAATAAGTTTTAAAATTGGCCCAGTATTTTTTGAGTTATTTCTATACATACAATAATGCAAATCTTTCCTCTTTATAACGTAAGTATAGATTACTTCCGATGTTCTTACAGTATACCGTATTTGCAGAAACTGCGTTTTTAAGGATTGATTTATATTCGAAACGCATTCAGACTGACAGCGAGTAAATATCCATCACTCTAACCTATCGGCCTACACAAGTGTTTATCCATAACAAATATTTTTATACGTGCTCGAAACGGTAAACCTTTTTTCCGACGTCCATTCGAGACTCCTTAGAGAGTAAAAGTAAACATAAATTATACGCTCCATTCACTGCGCACGCGCTTACACAGGATTAAAAAAATAAGGTCAAGTGTCATCGGTCGTAAAGATAGTCCTGGTCGTGTGAACCTCACCTACTAACTGTTTCCGATGATAAATCAAGATGGCGTCACTTTTGAACTTCATGTTATTTTTACCGCCTCGTTCAGTTTGTTTATGGATGCGTTTATGTGTTCTGAAGGAGCAAAGTATTTGGATACTTATGTAAATATGACGTAGTTGTCCACGTGCATAACAGATTCATTTGTATTTAATACTAGCCTGCGACTCCGTCTGCGCGGAATTAAAAAAAGATAAGTAACCTATGTGTTCTTCCAGACTATGTTCTAGATCCATCCAGCCATCAATCCAAACTTCTGCATTTATAATATTAGTATTATGAAGATTAAAAGTATTTACAGATATAATTAGTTTTGTTTTTAGTTAATTCCTATACAATATGTTGATATTGAAGCAATTATCGCATTAAAATATAGTCTATTTATTCAGAAACTCTATGCATTTAACACTAACTTATAAATTGAAATATTTGTTTAAATATTTGAATACGTAATTGTTCAACTGAATCATTGAAGCATAAACAGGGCGACATTTTTTGTGTTTATGGATCGAAAGTGAATTAACATCGGAATAACGGCGATTGGCACTTTATAAGGCACTTAAGACGTTCATTAAGGCGTTTTACAGTCGTTTGATGGTTGTTATGGAGACGCGGGTGCGATGCTTGTATCGCCCGGGTTTGAATCTCTAATGGAGATGTCTGGTTGCGTAAAACTCTGAGAGCAGCGTGGGTGTTGTGACCCTATAGGTCAGCGGTTCTCAAACTATATGGCCTACTGAATGTAAACAAACAATGCCTTTTTAACCAGATTTTTCTTTATAAAGACAAAATTTAAAAATATTTGGTTCTTCATACTTTTTATACTTCTAAACTAATCTATACTGATATTAGAAAGATAAAAGATTTGTATTTTTTTATGAATTGAAATAACTCAGTAACTAGTGAGCCGATTTAAAAAATTCTTACACCATTAAAAAGCTGCATTATCCGCAACATATATTTTATTGACATGCGGACGTAGTCGCGACCAATAGTTAGTAATAAATATTTTGTCACAAGAAAAAGTACGTAAATTTTTATTTATGCATGTAAACATAGTATACAAGGAATCATATGTAATATGTAACATGCGGTGCTCTTTGAATAATTTATATATACACCATGCTGATTAGAGTATAAATATAACTTATTTAACGAAGAAAAAATTCCCACGATGGCAGCCCTATTAAATAAAGAGTATGACGGAATCGTGAAAGCAAAGTAAATAGGTATGTCAGGAAATCTGTGCCATATTCAGTCACCCACGTCGTGTCGAGTAAATCTTGGCAGAGCCACCGTTTGTTTATGACAATTTAAGTTTGCATCACCAGTGTTTATGGTCAGACATCTCTATGGGCTGTGGGAAAGTGATCTATGGAAATTAAAATGAGATATAATTCCACGGTAATTCAAAGAAGGTAGTTTATAAGCGTAAAGTGTAAAATATTTGTTTAAATATTTAAAGTATAAAATCAAATATCACGATATTTTTTGAAGGTATATCAAAATTTACTTTTGGAGTTAACAAATTTTTAACTTTGAGTAAATAAATATTAAAAATAATAGAATGCGATTGATTACTATCGATTGCACTTTTTACATTTAAATTACAAATTCTTTATGTGCTTTAGAAATTAGAAACATATAGAATAGTTTTATAATAATTCTGTTTAGGTAACCTCATTAACCTTAGTCTACAAAGTTTATTTCATACTAAAGTTTGGTTTCAATGTTTATTTCCAGGGCTGCGGTTGCTGTGCAGATGGTCATACTAACAATGGCTACGAACATCGTTGCTGATTCTCTTCAGGTAATCAATTAAAAATTGTATTTTTTCTGAAAACCTAAAAATTATAAAGTTATCTTTGTTTGTTTTATTTAAAAGGTGGAAATGATACGATAACTTAAAATTTATAAGCTTCCACAGAGAAGGTTGTTTTAGAAGGTTACCTCAAGAAGTTATATAGTAATTTAATTTGACATGAATGATTAATTAACACACGCAAAGGCTTCAAACCTCTTAAGATGCTTCTGTAAACACGTTTGCATACATTCATTTATAATATACGTAACTTTTGTAACACTGGCTGTAACTCGCGACTTCGTCGGCAAATTAAAATATAATAAAATCGTAGCCTATGTTACTAAGTGATAACATAGCTTTTTAATGGTAAATTATTTTTGCAATCGGCCCAGTAGTTTTTGAGTTATATCAATAATTTAAAATACAACTCCTTCCTTTTTATAATATTAGTATTAGTATGACATAAAATTTGACAAAATTTTGTTATAAATTTGACTTTTCACTTTTGTTTATTCACCATTTTGTTACAGGGAATTTAGGATATTTTGAAGATACAAATTTTTATTTTTCCTTTTCACATTTCAGGCGTTAGAGCAGTCGCTGGGTAGCGCTTACGCGTGGACATCTTGGAGCAACTGGGGACCATGTTCAAGGACCTGTGGTGGAGGAGTGGCAGTACAAGAACGTGAATGCCTTCCAAGGTATAAAACAAATTAGTACAAATAAAAGCAAATCAAAGTAGCTTAAAACAAGAAACGTTAAGTAGATGAATATGTTTTTTTGCATCTTGTAAACTTCATTTGTTTTGTTTCACATTTTCAATCTATATCTACGGACTATCGAATCATAAGAACGTGCTTACACTAAACTGTCGGACAACTGTTGTGCGATTGTCAAATGTTTCTCAACCAATTCATCTGTTTAGCTGCACAACTAAAATTGAGTAGTGCTCGCACTTCCATATAAGCTCATAGGAATCAAAGCGCGACTAAATAATTGTGCGATAGTTTAATCAAAGTTGTGCGTACACTCTCAGTAAGCCATTTACAATAAATGATACTTTATTGCTAACTTAAAGTTTAAGTTATATAACTAATTTAATATCTAAATATATACTTTACTGTCCTTGGATGATAAAATGATGTAAATGTACTTTTAAATTCAAAATTAAACATTGTAGTTAACAGTTTAAATACATAGTGTAGGTGATATATAGGTCGTGTTGAAAACCATAACTCTCTCTTATTTACGAGCTCGTTCATTCATATTTCATGTCAAATATTACGTGGATTTATGCAACAAAGCTACTGTTGGTTAGTCATCTTGTTTTCTGAGACAATGACGCGGTTTATGGGATTTAAACAAAATATTACATTGTAAACGTTTAATACTAGCGACTTCGTCCGCGTGCAATTAAAAAAATGTAGCCTATGCTACACACAGATAAACTAAATATCGAAGAGTGAAAGAATTTTTAAAATCGGCCCAGTAGTTTTTTCGTAATCGAATACAGACAAAAATCCAAATCTTTTATCTTTATAATATTAGTGTAGATATAAGTACAAAGTGTTAACTTGGCTCAATATCAATGTATAATTCTAATTTATTCGAAACTTATAACTTTTGTATTTACAATCAGAAGGACAAGAGAATTTTGTACCCCTTGAAATCTTACTAATATAATAAATGCGAAAGTTTAGACGGATGGATGGATGTTTGTTAGAGTTTGTAGTCTAAACTGCTGAACGGATCTCGATAAAATTTGGCATGGATGTAGAGGATAGTTTGGTAAAACACATAGGCTATTTTTGTCAATTTTTATAATTCCCCGCGGATGGAGTCGCGGGCGCAAGCTAGTAATTAAATAAAATACTGAACTAGTTCAGAAAAAATACGTGAGATTCTAATTTTAGTGTTTTGTAACATACTAGCTGTTCCCGTGTGATTTAATCGGCATAAAATTATTGTATTGTTTAAATGTGTCAAATTGTCAATTGCAAATGTCAAAATAACATGACATGACAAACCTTGGCAATCTTGCTTGGCAGCAACTTATGGTCTCTTTCCCACATAAGGGTTTTTATCCAAAATATTAACCCCCTAACTTTAATGGCGTAAAAATTTATAGCCTAAAGCGTGACGTAAGTGTAGGGCTTTTTATTAAAAGAAGAATTATTCAAAAATATGCTGTAATTGCTGACATCTTAGGCAACAAAGATGTGTGTGTTTACGCTTTATTATAATAGTATAAATAATATTTTAATGCCACAAAAACTAAAATGTATAACTTAAAATGCAATTTACGAGTAATCTATAATCTAAAAGGATTAAAGAAGTTAGGTTCAAACTGCGTGTAAGAATTTCGAAAAAATCGCTAAGTGCTCGTTAAGGGTCAAGGGTTAAGCACGCCTAACCATAGTCGTGTTCGCTTTTTATAGACTAAATTAAGGTAATGGAAACCCCATAGCGCTGGGCTGTAACAAGCTGTTATTGTGCGACCATTGATTGCACACCGTGATTGACACACATCAGTGTCGGTGTTGCCAGTAATGAGCTCGCGATTACTGTCAATTATATCAAGCGTTCGCGCCACTATTTCGAACTATAGAGTGTTTTTTTATTGATGTTCCGTTGCGGCCAGCATGCATGAGTGTATCTTAATGCAATTTCATTCTTTACTTTTTATACTATAATTCTGAAATTATAGTGTTATGTTCAGGAAATGACTATCTGTTAATTTCATAATCTATGACAGCACAGGCGTCGTCATCTCATATACCAAGCTACGGATAAAGGGGAATGTATCTTTAATATCGTCTTATTCGTATTAATTTGATATTTATTTTACATTTTGAAGTCTACAATAAAGTCTATAAAAAAAAAAAGATCATAAGAGTCTAGGTGCGGTTTGTGGTCATGCGTTAATTTATTTATATAAAAAAGAGTTGAGTTTAGCCTTCATAATCTGTTTTCTCTCTTCGTAGTTGCCCTCGTGTTACACGTCTAATTATAAATATTTTGACTCCCATTCGAAATCCATAAGATTAATCATCAGTTCGATAACCGTCAAAACCGTTAGTCACGCAGGCTGTATTTGTTTACAAATGCGACTTGAGATAATTGTTAAAGCATATCGTTCAGGATTAATACGAACAGATACGGAGTGCTTGGCTTGTTAAGTAGGCAATCAACATTCCGTCACTCTTAATTAGAAAAGGTGGCAACGGTGATCGTGGCCAGAATAAGATTCGATAACACTAAGATAACATTCCTTTATCTATATAGAAAAATAGGCACTCATGATGAACTTTTTAATGACTGATAAGGGTTGCTTAGTTAAGATTATCAAGGAAATTTTAGGTTTGTCCAAGTTTGGTTATCTTCACTTGTTACTTACGTACTCAGAGTCGTTAAGTCCTTAGTATTCAATTACTGCGATCGTTTTAAACTTTTGAAGCAGTTTATAAGCATAATAATTCCTACTTATAGGTAAGTATTAGTAGTAAACTGGAGCACATTGCATATGAATCATAAATGTCAAATATTTCTCGTTCATTCCTATGAAATAAATTATTTAAAGTGCTTTAATATAAATTCCTTCATTAGAGACGTACAAAGTATCCTGCTGGTAAGTTGCGGTGTAACATTCTCGACAAATTAAGTTCGACGTCATTTGTCATAAGTTCTGAACTCCGTTCCATTCGGTCAGTAATAACTGACCGAACGGAATGAAATATTGTTCGGACACTTGCGGTGAATTGTTAGACGCTACATCTTTTTTTTTTTAAGACAGATAACTGATTTTACAGTGAACTATCGTTGTCATCTACTTATAAATACTGGGATAAAATATTGAACGCACAGAGTAATAAAAAACGATACTTTTAAACATAGCTTTTAAAATGGTGACTTTTAAGGTATTGTTAAAATGTAGTTATAGACTTGACTAGAAAACAAAAGAACTGCAGATAGTACACACTAATCTACAGTAAAGTAATCCATTTTATAAGTTTGAAAAAATAGTACAATAAAACTTTAACAATAATAATTAAAAAATTCGTTTTGTACCTATAAAGAAAAATTGCATATCATTCCATCTATTACAAGAAGGAAATAATATTCTGTTATTGTTTTATTTTTACACATTATATGTAGAATAAGTAAAAACTAATTTGGTACCAGGATATAAATCATAGTACGCACAATAATTAATAACAGCTGTTACCACTAACACCAACTTATCTAAGAAATAATAAAATATCAGCACATTTAATTAGATTAGAAAGCCTATAAAGATTGAACACAGAGTAAGAGATAAATGGAAATATCGCATTGCTTATCAAGATTTAATTTTAACCACAACACTTCTGTTTATTAAGAACCATATAGATAGCTAAGATATTGTTGCCTATATCATTTTAGTATCCAAAACATTTTTACTTAAATAAAAAGAAATACTATAGGTGTCTGTATAGCATCGTCATAACATCGAATACGGTGAACAACATGTCTTATTTTCCGTAACGAGCGGCGTTGATATTATGAGGTCCTTTGCCAGCGCCGCATCATGTCTTATTGCTTTTATTATTCTCCTGTAACTTATAACGTAATTACAATTAAGAAGATTTATCGCTAGATATTCTTTACTGAATATTAATCATATAGTATTCTAAATAATAAAAGTAACAGTTTTTTAACTGGTTTTATTTTTGTTAACTGGATTTTATGATTTACTGTGCGACTGAACGCTTTTGGAGTAGCAAAACAAAAGACTTACGTTTCGAATTAAGATATAAATTAAATAGTAACTATTTATATATACATAAGTAGCTGTTGCTCGCGACTTCGTCCACGTGAAATTTAAAAAAGTAATAAAAAATATCACCTATGCTATGTTACTCACTTATACTGTACCTTTTTAATGATGTAAGAATTTTTGGAAAAGGCCCCGTAGTTTTTGACCTATTTCTATACATACAAAATACAAATCTTTCCGCTTTAAAATATTGGTGTAGGTAGATTTAATGAAAAATAATTTGGCCACACTTTTATTAGAGCAGGAACTCTGTCAAGTGACTTTTTTGAGTGATTCATGTTTCAATTGTTCCAGAAAGCGTAAGATCCTTACGAATGGGACTATAGAAGGTTCTGTAAGGATCCAGCGTGCAGACTGCCCTGGCGTTAGCAGACGATACCACGAGTGCAACACTAGTGTAAGACAATCAATTAATTATTAAAAAATCTTCAATATCATTGATCACATCTTCATTGACTATTCACATGTCGAAATCATGTAAAACATATTAAGACATAGGTTATGTTACTCGCTGATAACGTAGCTTTTTAATGGTGAAAGTATTTTTTAAAATCGGCCCCGTACTTTTTGAGTTATTTCAATACATACAAAATTACAACTCTTTTCACTTTGTTATGTTAATTTAAATTTAGACGCCTTTAGAAAACGTGCAAGCAACCTTTTTTTCTTTTCTTAATTTTTAATTACTTTCAACTGAAATCCAAACCAAATATTTGCCACATTCTATACAGGCTCATTACCCGTAATGATTTGTTCAATCGATACGTTCCGTGGAGAAGCGTGTAAGTATAAAAGTGCTATACGCTCGCTTTGTTCCGATTTACGATCTTATGCGTCGTAAATGTTTCCGTCATTACTATTGTTCCGTCTAATACGTTATAGATTCTATACAAGACTGTAAATTTTCAATTATTTTGTTTTCGTAAGAATTTATTAGTTAATTACAACGATCTGCTATCTCGCTTATATTATTTATCACTAGCTTTTGCCCGCGACTCCGTCCGTTTGGAATAAAAAAAAAAACAAAAGCAAGTAACCAATGTATTCTTCCTGACAATCTATATCTATGCTTAATTTCATTGTGATTTAATTTAATTTTTGCACTTACTTAAGTTTACATAGGGACCGACGACATTATAAATTAGTTATATTAATGGATATTTTTATTTAGCCTTGCTCAGTTGGCGAGGAGTCACAAGATATGCGCAGTGAGCAATGCGCAGCTTACGACGGGAGACCTTTCCACGGCCGCTTCTACAGCTGGGTGCCGTACATCGATGGTGAGTGAAAGCCATAATCTGGGACAGTACAGCCGCAGCTATCTTTGCTTGTTGTGTATATATTAGAATATTTTAAGCTTTACTACACTTACCAGAGATTGTTATAATCGTATATCTAGTTAAATAGACACACTACTCGTATTCATACCAAATGTGGAATCGGTAGACTTCGATATGAGTAAAAAATTTCAACACAACATATTCAAAAACGCTGCCACAAAAGGCATTTGCAGAATATCAGCTCTTATTGCTAAACAGTAATAAGCACATAACTGAGCATGCCTTATCCATTCAGCATAGCAAACTTAGTAAAAAATATTTATAACTTTTATGCTTTTATATGTGCATGCATTATTTTGTCAACTATGTAATTAAATGTATAATGTTTGCCTTCTGAATGGATTAAATGGTTACATTATTATTAAGAGCTGTTACCGTTCGTCTTCATCCGCTTGGAATTATAAAAACTTTGTTTTTTTGTTTGTATTTCTCAAATCCTCAATTGCAACGTCAAAATTACCGTTACTTTGCTTCCTTAATGTTGGCAGCTTGTAGTTTATGGTCCCTTTCCCACATGTGGTTTTATTATAATTTATTCACTCTCTAAATTTATTAGCGTGAAAATATAACCCCTAAAGCGAGTCTTAAGTGAGAGGTTTTTTATAAAAGAAAGAATTATTCAAAAATATGCTGCGATTGTTGACATCCTACGCCACGAAGTGTGTTTATGCTTTATTATATTAGTATAGACAAAAAGCATTACTTAAATAGAATTTGGAAAAAACGTAAGTGTATAAAAAGTTTCAATAAATGTGAAGAACTATAAACTAAGCTTATACACCAGTAATGACTTAATTGAGATTAACGAGACCGAATAAAGATGCGTTCCAACATGCAATGTTCGACAACCCGTAGTGGCTTGTTTAGATAAATTGCTTCGCTCCAAAGTACTGGCATTACCTTATTTAGTTGTTGGATAGAGAGATCATTGAAAATCGTCAGTTAAATTAAAATATCGTGATTAATATTGCACGGATAATGTAGTTATTAAGTAAATTATAACATGGTTTTAATTATTTCAGTAATGTAGTTCGTTATTAAGGAAATGCCTGTAAATGATAAATTACAGATATTGCTCTATGAACTTTTGCTATGACATTGTAATAGAAATAAAATATTTACTTATTAAGCTTACATTAGCTTTTGTCTGCGACTCCGTCCGCGTGGAACTAAGGAAAACAATAGAGAGTAGCCGATGTGTTCTCCCAGACTATGCTCTACATCTATGCCAAATTTCATCGAGATCCATTCAGCAATTTAGGCTACAAACTCTAACAAACATCAATCCATCTAAACTTTCGCATTTATAATATTAGTAAGAAGTAGATTATACATCTTATAACTATTTTAGTTAATGTGCTTTATTCTATGTTTTTAAATAACATAAAATGTAATACAAGATTCGAGTTAGTTACATTTGATTTCGATTCGAATTTTCGTTTATCTATAAAGCTGTTAATTTAATAATCAAATTCCCATGACTTTAAAGCCATATGCGTTAATTATAGCTATTAACTGCAGTTCTGCTTGCGTACAATGATTCACTTGTAGCTGTTAAATTCATTCGAGCTATCAGCTATTGACGGCTCTGATTAATTGTTATTAAATTTCGATTATCATAGAGTCGAGTTTGTGAACTCTGAGTTTAAATGTTGAGCTGACGAAACTCGTAGATGTTTTTAATTAGCGCGCTCATTCAAATAAATGAGTGGAAAATATACTTTTTTGAGATTTCACCTAGTACTGTATAGGTTATTTAACGTTTATTTTATAACTATCTTTCGCCCGCGACTCCGACTTAAATTAAAAAAAAAACAAAGGCAAGTAGCCTATGTGTTCTTCCAGACTACCATCTACATCTATGCCAAATTTTATCGAAATCCGTTCAACCGTTTAGGTTACAAACTCTAACAAACTCTAACAAACTTTCGCATTTATAATATTAGTATAATAGTATGATATGGGTAGGGTTAAACGATTTTCGGAACGCCTAATATTAATAAATCCCACGACCATGGATATTCGCAACACCAGAGGATTTATGTAACGGTTATTAACAATTAGCGAGGAAATTACATAACATTATGAAAGAATAACTGTATAAAAATGGTTGCACAGGTCACGAAAGAATTGTGTGTGATTTTATACTGAACTTACGGATAAATCTGGCTTCATTTAAATACATTTAACAAGTTTGTCAAAACATCAATGATATCATAATAATAGATAACGTTATGGGACTTTGAATAAGATATTATGAAAACAGTTTTATTATGTCTAATTGTAAAGGGATGTTTTAGAGAACAATAGTATTTATAAAATAGAATCTTTGACTATTTCATAGCGTGGGTAAAATATTTATAGTATAAAAATTAATGTAAATATTTTAACCACGTTATTACATCGTGAGAAAATTTATCTGTTACTTAAATAATTCATGATTTTAATATTCGCTAACACGCACTTTTGAAACTCTACTTTCTTTTGTTAAAATGTGTCTACATACTCGTAAGCAGTAATAATATTTCCAAAGACTAAAATCGTGTACATTTTGTTATACTAGCTGTTCCCGTGAGGCTTCATCCGCATGAAATTACAAAAACTTTATTTTAATGTTTATATTTGTCAAGTTCTCAATTGCAAATGTCAAAATTACCGTTACCATAATGACCTTGCTCAATGTTGGCAGCTTGTAGTTTATGGTCCCTATCCCACATGAAGGTTTTTTTCAAGTTTAATAGCGTGAAAATATATAGCCAAAAGCATTTTGTAAGTGTAGGGCTTTTTATTAAAGAAAGAGTTATTCAAAAATATGCTGGGATTGCTAACATCCTACGCCACGAAGTAGTGTGTGTATACGCTTTATTATGTTAGTATAGATTTCCACGCATATAAACAGCAAAATACGGAAACATTTCCTTTATTAGTACACGATATTACGAGTGAAGTTAACTTTATAACCATCTATTAAAATGTCCGCGTGAGAGGCCGCGGGCTGGAATGAACGCGTTTAGTAAAATAACAAATTTCCATACGACTAACAAGTTCCGTGCATTACGGGCATTTGATATTATAAATGTTAACGATAACCTCTCATTTGTTGTAGTAAATTGCTTTATCGGTGTTACTGTGATTTATCACAGATATATAATTTTTATGTCGTCTTTCTATCTGGATACAAAACATTTTAGTTGCTTACTATTTGATAGACGGTGGTCTTTGGTTGTATTTTGTTTTCAGTTCTTTATAGAGCTTAAATATTTTTAGGTTATATAAACAAATCTAAATTGTCCTTAATGATTTGACATAGACTAAGTAGAATTAACATGTACATAAGTTTTCTTTAAGCCTTTAAGTTGTCTTGTAGTAGATTTAGTGCCACTCACGACATTTTCCTTAGTTACTCCTTTAGACAATTAACGAATTAATTGCAGCAGCTGTTTGTAAAATACTAATAAAATTATTTGTTGCCAGGCAATGTACCATGCTTGTTGAACTGCCGTCCAGTGGGGCAGCAGTTCTACGCGTCTCTCGGGATAGTAGCAGACGGCACGCCATGCACGAAGCCAGGATACAGAGCTATATGTGTGAAAGGAGTTTGTAAGGTATTATAAATTTAGTATTAGAATATGATATGCATAGTTTAAATAATCCAAGATGAAGTTAGTCACACATGTCTTAGCTACCAAAACTTAGATCTTACTGGTATTATGGTGAAAGTTTAGAGGGATGGGTGGATTTTTGTTAAAGTTAAACGGCTGAACGGATTTCAATGTTTCGTATTGTAAAGTCTTGAAGAATTAATAGGATACTTAATTATTTTTTAATTCGGCAACGATATGGTCGCGGGCAAAAGCTAGTCTACTTACAAAAGCACATCGTATGAATAGTTTAAATGCGACAAAAATTACCAACTGTACGCTAAGTACCAGTTGATATTCAGTTATAAATTAACGCCAATGTAACGATTTTATCTGCATAGTGTATTTATACTATTATAATAAAGCGTAAACACAGATTTCTTTGTTGCGTAAGATGTCAGCAATTACAGCAAATTTTGAATAATTCTTTTTTTAATAAAAAGCCTTACATTTACGTGATGCTTAAGGCTATATATTGTCACTCCATTAAACTTATTGGTTTATATTTTGGATAAAAACCCTAATGTGGAAAAGAGACCATAAGTTGCTGCCAACATCAAGGAAGGTTGTCATCATGTCATTTTGACATTTGTAATTGATAATTTGACACATGTTAACAATGTAATAAAACTTTCATAATTATATGCGGATGAAGTCGCACGGGAACAGCTAGTTTACAATAAATAACTTATGATTAGACCAGTTAGGAGCAGGTCCGTAGTACAGTTTTTAATTTTAGCCTTAGTAATTAAACCTCCAGTTGACTGTAGTTAACCTCGTATATTCATTTATTCAGGCAGTTCCGATTTACGACCGCTTTACTGAGAAACATGTTTGTGTAACGTTGGTTACGCCTGTTGCATAAGCCTATTGTCAACTCAAGGCCAAGTTTGCAGGATACTATATCCGATAGAGTTTATTGTAATTAGACTTATGAAAGTAAATGGACTTAGTTTTGAATAACATTAACATATGTAAGTATAACTTATTGCGCTAATGTTCACAATAAAAGATAACACTTGTAATCAGCATTCCTTTAGTAATAATATCCTGTAATTTAGACAAAAAAAAAACAGGAAGGATTATACTAAAAATTATACTTTGGTATGAACATTTTATTGTGTAACATTGAAGGAATCTGTACTATAATATAATAAAACGTAAACACACACTTCTTCGCGGCGTAAGATGTCAGCAATCACAGTATATTTTTGAATAATTCTTAATAAAAAAGCCCTACACTTACATTACGCTTTAGTTTATATATTTTTACGCTATTAAACTTAGCGGGTAAATAAATTGAAAATAAAACCTTAATGTCAGAAAGAGACCATAAACTACAAGCTGCCAACACCAAGGAAGCGAGATTTCCATGGTTGTCATTTGTGCATTAATGAAGCCGCACGGGAACAGCTAGTTGTATAATAAATATACTATATCACAATTTTTTATTATAATTAAATTGACTAGCCGTACAGAAGTTGGTTTTACTATTAGACCACTTCCAGTAAAGTAGCTGTGACAAAGCTTTGTAGTTTAGATAGATGGATGTTTGTTAGAGTTTGTAGCTTAAACGGACCTCGATGAAATTAGGTATTGATGATAGTCTGGAAGATCTTATAGCCTACGCAATTTTTTTTATTTCCACGCGGAAGGAGTCGCGGCCAAAAGCTAGTTTAATGATAAAGTTGGTTTAATGTTGTAATTCGAATACAAATCGCGATAAACAAAATCTAAACCATAGTCCCAAATTTATATTTTAAATCAATCGGAAGAAATAATTGGTTCACAATTACTTCACAGTCATCGGACTTCGATTTGTAGTAGCAATAAAATAAAATTGTCTATTGACTAAATATGAATCGACATCTCTTGTCCGCACTATAAACTATCCAATCGCTGCAACTGTGTGCCGGCAAGGACACGCACCTCGTAATCGTAAATTATTTAAACTATTGTTAGTTATATGACAATGTTGCCAGCCTATTGTCGTACAATTAGCTCGTACTTGAAACAATATTTTGTATACTACAACTTTTATTATAGCCCTGCACTTTGATCGAACATTACACCAATTAAAAGAACAAAGCAAATTGTATCTCAATCATTCTTCAATTTATATTCTCTGGGATAACTTAATTTGAAATCTCATAACTTGAACATTACGTACAAACAACTTTATTTGAACTTAAAATTGCAAGAATAAACATTCCCAACATTGCAAAAGTTTTACTTTATTTTGCATGATAATTAACAAACACCGAAAACATTATATAAACGATTTTGCTCATGTTATCTCCAGGATAACAACTTATTCAAGATTTTTTTCTATTTTGAGTCACTTAGTATTATATTATCTCAATTTACATTCAAAAAACTAAAGAACCATTATATTTAATCATAATAAATCTTATTATAGTAAACTAGCTGTTGCTCGCGACTTCGCTCGCGGGAAATTAAAAAATAAAGCCTATGTTACAGATAAATTACCTTTCTAACGGTGAAAGAATTTTTAAAATCGGCCCAGTAGTTTTAGAGTTATTTCAATACATACAAAAATACAAAAGTACAAAAATACAAATCTTTCCTCTTTATAATATTAGTATAGATATAAATTAGTTGCACGGACTTAAAGTGGGATAAATGGCACATAAAGTGAATTATTAAGGTATTTTACCTTTAGTAAACAATTTTAGGTGTAACTGTGCCGTTGTTAATTTTAATGACGACAAATTGTAGTTAAATTAAATTCGTCACCAAGCCCATAAAAGGTATGGGAGCTATTAATAGTAGTTACGGTATAACTCAGTACACAGTTTAAATTACTGCTTTATATCGAAACCGTGGCGCCACCTTTGAACTCAATCCTACATTAAACTAATCACTGTAAATAACACATACCAAAATGTTTGATGACATCTCTGTTGAAATATTTATTTGAGAACGCAATTGTAAATTACGCGTAAATGAGAAAGACATTAAAATGCGTCACTTTAGCTAGTTTTTTTTTAATCTATTAGTTAGTTCTTCTATTCTTTTATTAATACTAGCTATAACTTTGAACTTCGCCTGCGTGAAATTAAAAGATATATGTTACTCACTAATAACGTAACTTTGTAATGTTGAAAGAACTGTTGAAATGGGACCAGTAGTTATTGAGTTATTTCAATATATACACTAAAACAAATCTTTTCTGTTTATAATATTATAGATTGAGATCCCAGACCAGGATGACGACACCTATATTCTAAAACTTTACTGATATCTGATTAGATAGTACTCGTTTGTGATGTATCTGAATGGCCATTAGTAGTGTCGTCATCCTGGTCTGGGATCTCAATCTATTAGTTAGTATAGATTAAAAAGAGAATGTGTATTTTCAATTTTGTTTGTATTGAAATAACTCAAATACCACTTGACCGATTTTTAAAATTCTTTCACCATTAACAAGCTGCGTTTGTTATCAGTGAGTAACATAAGCTATGTTTTTATTATTTTTTAAAAATCATGTAGATTTAGTATTAAATAAAATAAGAAGTATTATTGTTTTAAAAATACGATGTACTAATCATCATTTTATACACGGAGACGGTATAAATTAGGAGTCTTATTATCTCAGTAATTAAAACGATAGGATATGAACGGCTTATTGGATCGTTTATTCCGATTATAAATTGTACTAATTGCGGTCGTTGTTGTTATTCAATTTATGGATATAGTACGAGTATCTTTTAGCGGAATTTCATGCATTAATGCATACGTATTCAAATAAATTAGATGTATATGTATATAGAATATTTCAGTGCCTCCGTACTTTTGTTCCATATAAGATTTTTAATACGTATTACTAATTTATTTATGCACTAACTGTCCTCCGCGACATCGTCCACGCAATATTAAGATAAAAAATGAGCTTATAATATGCCAGTCTTTGTCAGCTACCCTTCAGTGAAAGTCCGGTCAAAATCGATCCAGCCGTTTCGGAGATTTTCCGGAACAAACGCGGCTTGCGAACAGACAGGCAGACAAACAAAAATTAAATAAGATTTTCGTTATCAGCAACGTAAATACGTCATCTTCCGGAAATCTGGAATTTTTTTTTTGATATTACAAAGTGACACTCCAATTTTATTATATGTATAGATAGAAGATTTATTTTCCCACAATATTATTCTAAATTGGATCGCGAATAGAGTAAAATAAATCATGTCGATTAATTTGTGTACCTCAATAATTTGAGCGTATTATATGTTGAATGTAATAAATAAATGCCAAGGGGTACCATTAATATGTTGATGATTTATTTGTATTACGGCTAGGTTTCCGTAGTGACAGCTAGTGAGCGGTAGTGGATAGTGGCTAGTGACGCGCGCTGGGCGGTATGCTCATTGCCTATACTGTGATTACGGTGCACTGCCGCGGGCGACGTGATAATGTTTACTAGATGTGGCTTGTTGTCGAACTTTATTTTACTTTATCTTAAAATGGTTTTAATATATTTTTTAACTTATTTATATCATAGAACGAAATTCTGTATATTATGTAGAGTATATTATTTTATGATTAACTACTGTTGAGATATTAAAAGTATTCTGTTTGACAACATCGCAGTAAACATTATTTGTTTAGAGTTATTTAGAATATTGACTTGGTATATCAAGTAATACATGATTTAAATTAATTTAAAAATAATCGAAGTTGTCACTTCTAGTAATCATCGTCAATGTCGAGAAAGGAGGAAATTCCGACATTCTTGACTATTTACCATATAAGAGTTTATCTGAAGATTACAGACAGGATTGGCCGTGATTAGAATGTCTTAATGTGTCTAGATAGCGTCACTTAGAAACTGAATTAAAATTACCTTTACTTACAATATTGCAAGTCACTTGTTCAAGTAAATGTCGCTATTTCCAAACTATCATTTAAAAAATATCCCACTTTAATTACTTATGCTTCATTTC